CAGAAATCGGGAAACAACAAATGGACAGAGAGAATGATTATAATCCATGTCTCAGTCCATATGATATCTAGAATGAAGGAATATATGATCACTTATCTAATGGACAAGTCATTGACAAAGGTCAGAGATCATCGGCAAAGTCAGAGTTCGACGGAAGCTTTTGAGAGCTACGATTGCCAGTCGGTTCTTGAAGTCATACGCAGTAATAGTTTTAGACTTATCCGAGTGGGAGACTGTTGGATTAATGTCTAAGTCCATAACTATAATTGGTAAGACTTGACCCGACCCGGCATGGTCCATTTGGGTTGCATGGCATCATGCATTTGGATAGACTATAATGAGAGAAATAACACTTAAGGTTTGTTAATATATTATAAGTTATAATATATTAATAAGATTATTTCATTAGTATTGATCAAGAATTAATCTAGAATTAATTATGTGATCAAAAGAAGACTAATTAAATATATGGGTTGATTGTGTAAATCATCCATACTTGTATAGTGGGCTAATGCTCCATGGATTGTCAAGTTGGGCTAAAACCCATAAGATGCTCCATGGTATGTTTGAACCCATGGATCCAAGGAAATGGAAAGCCATGACAATTAGGGTTTACCCTAATTGTCACTAACTATATAAGCATCTTATTGTTGACAAAATCGGCCACTAGAGTGAACATGAGGGCTAGCCGATTTTCATGAAGTGTGTATATTCTCTCAAGTTATTCCAAGTGTATTTGGTGTTGTGTGAACCATTTGAGGTGTCACACTTGGGGTACTAGGCACTCAAGCTTCATGAAGTCATTCTACATCAAAGAGGTATGTATTCTAACTAGTTATATTTCATATGAATCAAAGTTTTGTATGCTAGTTAGTATAATACCTTGGATATTAATATTTATATGTATAATAGAGAAAACATAGATCCAAGTTATTTAGGGTTGCATGTACACTTAGGAGTGTTAGAATGCTCAAAACCCAACAATAACCCCATGCATGGTATCAAATGGGAGTTAAACTCCATATCCATGCCATAAAACACTTCTAGAAGACAAAGGGACCATAAAGATCCAATCTTTATTTTGGAGTTTCCAGAACTCCTTTCATAATCCATAAAAGGCCAAAAAATGCATATAAATCACAAGATCTAAGAAGTAAACATAGAGACTTAGGGGGTGTTTGTTTTTTTCAAAAACCTCTTCTTGACCTCTTATGTCTGCGCCACGCAGACAACGCGCAGACGTATACTCTGGCAGATCGTTTGTTTTTTAGAAGCCTGCAGACCTAAAAAGGTCTGCGCGCCCTCTTCTTGATACATACATGGACTTGTATCTTCTCACATCTTCTCACCCCGTTAAAAAAAACACGATTCATTCTAACCTAAAAAAAGAACGCATTAGAGAAAAGAAAAAACACAGTCGGCTCCTCTTCTTCACTGCATACACCGGCGACCATCATTCCTTCCTTTACTCCGGCGATCTCTTCAGCACGTCGATGCCAAAGGCGTCTTGCTTACCTTGTTGTCGTACCTTGCCTCCATCTCCGCCTTCCACAGCTGCTATTACAATGACTCCTTCCATAGCTGCTACCCTCTTCCGCTGCATTCTTCCCCCCTCACCAGTTAACCCCCCTTTCTTCCTCGAATATATTTTCTAGGGTTTGGTTTATTTTGCTGTTATATTTTTTTTGCTAAATATCAAATCCACTGATTTGTTATATTTTGATGTTAGATGTTATTGAAATACTTGTGAAATCATTTTTTTGCTGAAATATATTATGAAATCTTTTTTTGTGAAATAAGTTTTGTTGTTAATTTTTTTCCCTGCAATGTCTAATGACATCAAATTTGCTACAATGCCTGAGAAATCAAAATTTTGTTGCTCCGATATGTTAGGAAATCAGATTTCTGATTGTTGTTATTTGGTTGGTGAAATTTGTTTTGATTGTTGTTATATCATATATGGTTTCTAAAATCAATTTTATTTACTTATTTATTTATTTTTTGCTGAAACTTGTTATGAAATCAAGTTGTTAATTGTTGTTATGTCTTTTTGGTTATTATAAATGGGTGAGAAACAACAATGGACTAATGGCCATCTAAAATGCTTATTGGGAAGAGGGACTTGGTGATGAGTATATTGCAGACGTTAAAAAAACAAACAGACTTCTTATTGCAGACTGCAGACGTTTTGTCCATCTCTTCTGCTGCAGAGGATTGCAGACGTGGTCCGCAGACTGCAAACGTTTTGACTTCGGAAAAACAAATAGCACCTTAGTCACATACTAACATCCAGAAGAGCAGGGCGCGACACAAACATAAACATTAGGGGGGCCGGTTCTGAATATTTAAAAGGGGGCCATACCTAGCCGTACCCAAATTTAATTGTATTGTCATTAACGTAGTGTATATATTTATAAAGTAAATGAACAAAATTTTCTATAGTTGTCTTCTTCTTAATAATAATAATAATAATAAACGAGCTAATAGTTATAAATCAAAAATATATTTTTTCCTTATGACTAAAAACGACAAATCAGAAAATCCTAGAAAACAATTAACAATGCTAGGAACTAAAGTGATTAACACAAAGTCCATCGATAATTATCAACTTATAAAATTATATAAGAATTACCACACCATTAATACTTAAAACAATCAATTATTATTACCTATAAATTATAAAGAATTACCATCTTAGAATTTACTCAATGATGCATTAACAATAACAGTGTTTATATATTTTAATATTACTTTATCTTTTATGGGGAAGAATGCACGCTACCTATCTCCTGTCACATAAAAACCACCCCACTCCAAGTTCCTAAGTTCTAGCTATAAACAATGGAAAAGTAGCTCCAAAGCAAAAAAAAAAAAAAAAAAAAGCAAGGGAGACCGGAGAGACATACGATAATTGATATGCGAGAGAACAAACCACATAACTGATCAGCGAACGACGTGAGGCAGAGCCGCTGACGGACTCACAACTGGCTAAGCAACCGACGACCAACATATGTCTAGTGAGTGACGGACATACGGAGGCGCAGAGCCATGACAGCGGCTGAAGTATTCATCGAGAGGTCAAATTGGGGGAGAGGGTGAGAGAGGCGTCCAAGATATCATTCTCAAAACAGTTCTGAAATGTTTTAAAAGATTTTGAACATGTTGTATTGAGAGCGGGAATTTTCAAAATTTTAAGGGCTTTTGGAAATTTTAAATAACAAACCGATGGTTTTATTTTGATTTTTCAAAATTTGAAACCCTTTTTTAATGGGTGTAGTTTCAAAAGATATAATTTACATTTGAGATAATCATCCGTGTTTTTATGCACAACACTGATAGTTTACAGGTTTGTATTTTACTTGACATAACTTTAAAACTTGAATTATGTGAGAAAGTAACCAGGTGTATTAAGATTTTAATGTTCATGCTATGAAAAATGGGAGGAGGGGGGGGGGGGGTATGGCCTCCCCTGGCCCCTTAGAGGATCCGCCACTGCAGAAGAGTGCAAGAAGGCAAAATTTTCACACCAAAAGCTTTAAGAGAGTGTGAACTTCCATCTAAAGCTTCACAATAACACAAACTCAAAAAGGATTAAAAGAGAACATGGTGCTTTGACGCTAGGGTTCTCTGGAAGGGAAGGAGGCTGAGAGTGGAGGAAACCCTAACCATCATTTTTTTTAAATAGTCCCCGCTACCCGATACCTAGGGTTTTGAAACCATTCGTCACCGCGTCGTAGGGAATGTCGTGGCCGTGCCATGGTGGATCTCCACCACCGTGTTGCGATCAATTAAAAAACTTCAATCTTGAATAAATTAAATGGTTAGAGATTAGTACCTAAAAATGGATGTTACATTATGACTTAGAATGAAAAGTTATTTGTGGAGGAACCACATGAAGATTTATTACTATAACACAATCTTGCAACATGACTATACATTGGAAATAATGAAAAAATATCGTGGAGTCGAGAAAATAAAAATAAATACAGTATATTATGATCATATTTGAAAATGACTATATACATCTTTATTCAAAAAGTGCTGATTGCATTGCATATACAATTTTGCTTTGATGTTCTATCTTCAAAAAATTGTGACATTTAGCAAAATAACAGCACTAATCATACATAAATAAATAGACAATTGTCAAGATAATAATTAACTCACAAATCATAACAAATATATAAAATAAACAACCTTATATAAAAAAATAAATAAAACGTTGAAAGATTCAACAATAAAATCGATTTAGAAAATAATTATATCATAAACACTACTCCTTTTAAAAGATAAAAAAAAACTATATAATAACTTGGTAAAAAGCCAGCCCAAACGCATACAAACTGTGTATTGGGCTTGTGAATGAGCAAGCACTAGGGCCTATTGGGTCTAATGAACTGTGGAGCCCAGAAGAAATCAGTAAAATTGCAATTCATACAAATACAGGATGCGAAATTACGAATCTACGATACGTATCGGAATCGGCAGAGCTAGACACATAGACCATATCAGCTTGAGTTCAACCGATTGGCCATCCTGCTTAATTAGGTAAATTGTTTTTAAGAACATCTCGATTTTGTTTGTGTATAACTAATTCTAGAAGAGGATTTGGATGTTAATACTCGATCATATAACGATATCTTTTCCTATTAACGCCTGTCCAGTGGTCGACAGAGACAAAAACACTATTTTAAACGATATCAAGTGTTTGCCTTTGTCTTTTAGGGTTTTTTTCTAATTATTGAGATTTGTGTAATTGCATGCTATAGTAACTATTTCATGGTACGTGGATCATAGTCATGTTTGTTTATACCCACATGAAACTCCTTCCCCATGGCTTATTACTTTAGCATCTTGTTTTCATAAAGTTCAATTTTTTTAGTGTCAGTTTATATATGTATACTTGTCCCACGTTTTTAACCTTTGTATCTTATATGAAAAATGGTATATACGGATCTCTCAAATGTTTATTTCTTTTTTGCAAGTGTAGAAAACTAGAAATGGGTAAGACAAGGAGTATGAGTAGAGACCAGAACCATGATGATGCATCTATCCGGAAGAAGATCAAGACTTGTGATCCTTGGTCAGATCTTAACTATGATGTGCTTTTCTTAGTTATGATGCGACTTGGAGTTGTTGATTTTCTTGCATTCAGCAGAGTTTGTAAGTCATGGAGATCACTTGCAGTCTCTAACAGGAACAAGTTTATAGTGTCCAGACCACCCATGCCCATGTCCATTTCTATCTCTACTGATGCTAATCATGAGAGTAAGTGCTACTTAGAGGACTTTGAAGGAAGAAAGTTAAAAATCAGCCTTCCTCATTCTGATTATAAGGCATGTGTTGGAGTAAGTTATGGTTACTTGATTCTGATTCGTGAGAAAACCAATATTTTTTGGCTTGTGAATCCTATCACAAGGCATGAATTTCATGTCCCTTCCCCTTTCCTTAATGTCCATTCCTGCACTTCTTTTCTGGGGGATATCCTTGTCTTTTCACCTGTAATATCTGGGTGGGTGTTTGTTGTGTTCGATAGATACTTTCACAACATATGGTTTGTTATTGTTGGTAAACGAGAATGGACTTATGTCACCACCCATTTCGGCATCCTTGATTTACATGCCTTCAGGGGAAAGATATATACCCTACACCCCAATAATTTTTTAATTGAAGTGAGACTTTTTCCAACACCCGAAGTTACGATTACTTGAATTCAACAATTTTCTGAAGCCAAACCATCGTTACCCGAGGCTTGTAAGTTTGGGTGAAAAGCTTTATGTTATAAATCGAATTTCAGAGTTTCCATACATGATTCAAGAAATAAATTTTAGTAAAATGGAATGGGTGTCATGTGAAAAGACAGTAGAAGAATATGCATTCTTTCTTAGCATTGACTATTGTTTTACTGCTTTTATACGAATGGAGCCGTGGGCTGATCTTTACTCACAATACGGGAAACATTCTTTTCCCGATAAAAATGGAAAATGCAGGTTATTTCGTGCAAAAATGTGGTACTTTTTCCATGATTGTTTGAATGTTAATTTTCTACATCAATGATGACATGTTAGCAAGGTTATGCTATGATCATTGGTTGTTTTGCATCTTGCACTTTATTTTATAAACGGTTCGGTTCTCGCTCCTTATTTTGCTTTAGTGGGCACAACTATAACTTGTTCTCAATTTATATTCTCTGCATTATGTGTAGCTTATGTTTGGCATGTTGTTCTCATGGTGTGAAATAAGTATGTCATGGATATTTGCACAAATAAAATTCTTGTTGATTCCTATTTCCAAAATGCATTACAATCCTTTGTTGAAACCTTAATAAGTATGTCATGAATAGGGTTGGATATTCTTTAGATGTGAGTGTGTTTGGGATGTGGGATTTAAAGGAATTTGTTTTCATTCAAATTATGTGTTGGAATAATGATCGAATATATTTGATGTTTGTCGGAAGTTATGAACCAACCATGGCTTCTCTCCAACTACATAAAGTGAAAATGCCCCAAAACAAACCATTAATAAAAGAAAAACTTTGGCCCTCCACTGCCAACTCCTACTCTTCCACTTAGAGGACATTGTGGATTCTGAGTTGGTAGCTTTTTCTCAAAAATCACTTATGGCAATACACAAATTCCTTTGCAAGATTTACAAACGACTAAAATTTTTAATTACACTGAAGAAGACATAATTTTCCATAAAAAAATTTAATTGCATAGAAGAGGACATAATTTTCCATAAAAATTTAAGATTTGTTTTTTTTTGGAGGTAGTTAAGAAGGTGTATGTGGCCAGATCCAAATTTACATCCGGACGAGATGGAAATGGAGAAGGGCAACAGTGGCACAATGACTAGAAGAGATGGACAGAGGTGGGGTCTCGATTACCCATCCCATCATCTTGTGTATCGCTGCTCAGACCTCACATCTATAAGGATTCCTTAAGTTATCACATCATGTCATTCTCGATGAAAACATGTTCTCGTTTGCCTCAATGACTCCAAACTCACCTCCGTCCTACTCTTTTTTGGATAACTGGACGACTTATATTATATGAAACCTCCCCTCTGTCCCATCATTTTCTATTATCACCGCACCAAATCACACCCTCTACTGATGACCCTACACCCTTTAACTCAAACTCATATCGAGAGCTTCACCCCTACCTGTCCAGTGGCGGAGCTTGAACATTTATTTTGAGGGGGCCGAAAGTATAATATGTATAAAAATTGAAGAGCAAGGGGGCACAACATAAAATTTATATTTTTAGGCCTAAGTATAAAAATTAAAGGGTAAGGACTACTTCTAACAAAAAAAAATCAGGGGGCAGCCCCTTCTGGCCCTAAGAAAGCTCCATCCAACACCCATCGCTTATGTTCCAGCTGAATCTGCTGGCCTAGCAGCTCCCAAACCTACTGTAACATCCCAAAATTCAAGGCCAAAAATTTCATTTTTAAATAAGTTATTACATAAAACCATCAGTATAAAAACATTCATAATAATATATCGTGTCAAGCCAAAGCGTCAGTAATCAAAACATATTATAATAAAACAATATCAGAGTGTAATCCCAAAGATCTCATGTGCGGAAAACATAGTGTGATGCGCTGCGATCAAGTCGGCTCCTTTCCTTTGAAAACGAGTACCTGAAACCAAAACTGTAAACCGTAAGCACAAAGCTTAGTGAGCCCCCCCATCATACCACATACCATACAATCATATAACATACATATACAATACATACTGTCAGGCAGTTCTGGGGGGGCCTGACTACCCAGGTCAAGCCATTCTGGGGTGCTTGACTTACCCAGGTCAAGCCATTCTGGGGTGCTTGACGTACCCGTCGGTCTGTTTCACCCGACTACCGGGGACTATTTCACCCCCTACCACTATCACATAACACACATATACTGCCAGGCAATTCTAGGTGCCTGACTACCCAGGTCAAGCCATTATGGGGTGCTTGACTTACCCGTCGGTCCTTACAACCGACATCCGAGGACTATTTCACCTCCTACTACTACCACATAATAGCATGAACATACTGTCAGGCAATTCTGGGGTGCCCGACCTACCCTTCGGTCCTAACGACCGAACTTGGGGACTATTCTCCCCCTACTACCACTATCACATATAACATATAACATATCATGCTAGCACATAAACATATCAGGTAGTAGCAACCCTAGATGAATGTCACAAAGACAATCATCTAACATACAACTCCTACTGGTGGGCCGGCATTGTGGCCGTAGACCCACCGCTACTGAAAGGTAACTCACCTCACACTGCTGAAGTCCCGTAGACACAATCCCACACTGCTGAAGTCCCGCAGACTCAACCCCAGCTGCTGAATGACAGATTCTCGAACTGTCAATATCACACATCACCCAATTAATAATTGGGTTCCACTACATAATCATAAGTACGTACTTGGGTCATTACTACATTACCCCATGCTTGGCTTTATTCAAGCCCAAGGACCAATCCATAGGCCCAAAAGTCAACTATGAGTCAAAGCCCATCATATGGAAAATTGGGCCCAAACCCTTACAAGGTCTTACCACAAGGCCCAACCATTTAGTCCAGTCCAACATTCAACATTCTAATGGCCCAATATCACCTAATCATTAAGGCCCAAACTATGGCCCATCTATGGCCCAATTTTCTAAATTGGGCCCAAACCCCTTACATGGGCCTTACCCTAGGCCCATTAAATTATTCTAGTCCAATTGCTTGACTTTGGATGGTCCATTAGTAACCCAATCATCAAGGCTCAATAAAGAGGCCCAACAATAAACCCAAGTGAAATTAGGGTTTCACATAAAATGACGATTAGGGTTAAGTGTTTCTCACTTAACCTTTTAAAGACTTAATCCATTAAGTCGATCATTCTTCTAAATAAGTCATATGGTGTGATTGGGCTTAATCACACAATTCCATTCCAATGGCCCAAAAGTGGCTCCCAATAAGTCCAAGCCCATAAATCCAATATTAGGGTTTTCTAAACCCTAATTTGGGTTTCCAATCCCATCCTAGCCCAATAGGCCCAAAACCATGTCCTTAAGCCCATTAGGGTTTTCCTTAGGCCAATTAGGGTTTATTACACCCATTACTCACATGTTTGGGCTTTTGGGTCCATTAAGCTTCCTTGGGCCCATTATGGTTCATTAAGCCCATTAAGCCTCATTGGGCCCATTAGGGTTTCTTAGTCCCTTGTCCAAACATCCAAACACCATCAAAGCACACCGCCACCCGACACGGCTGCCGGTGGCGGCAGGAGGCGGCAGCCACCACCCTAAGGTGGTGGTTTTTAATTTCTTTTCATTATACTTTTTGCTAATTACACCTTACAATGCCTTAACCCAAAAATAAACACACACTAACTAACATACACACACACCACTCTAAAACATACACACACACGGTGGTTCCTGGCGGCAGCCACCACCTCACGGTGGTGGCGATGGCTGCTCTCACGAATTCCCGTCAAACAACCCCTTCCTTATTAGAGCACACGCACACAATCGCTAAATATCGCACACAGCCACCACCACATGGCGGCGGGTGGTGGCAGAACGGTTACACACATGTGGCAGCCACCATGGTCGACTACCATGCTGGTTGTTCTCGGTTTTCAGGCCAAACAAAATGTCCATGAGAACAGCAACACACCAGCACAACCCTCGCGTGGCAGCGTACATCAGTCGGAACAGGTGCGTCCGGGGATGGCGACACGCAGCTTGACGTCGTCTTCAACAGCTTGGCATCGCCCGTGGGTATTCTTCCGTTCATTCACGACATCACTGGCAGTTAGGGTGACGTTGGTGCCTCGGGGCAAGGCAGCAATCGGAAAGGCAGCTGCTGGAGCTCTAGGATGGCGACGGGAGAAAGAGAAGGAGAACGGAGAATGGAGGGGGGGGGGTAACAGTCGCACCCGACAGTCCCGTCGTCGACCTATTCTCGCCGGAAGGAAATAGCTGCTACATTCGGTGGTGGCGGTAACATGGGTTAGCGGCGCCGGAGATGGTGGAGGTGGGTGAAACCGATGGTGCAACGCCGACAATAGAAGAAGGGAGTTGCGGTTGCTCTTGTTTGCGCTAGGGTTAGGGTTTAGATTGAGTTATATATCCCGTAACTTTGAAACTTCACCCCATAATGGCAAGTCTGGTCCCTCTCTATACAATTCTTTTCAACTATGATCCAAAATTTACCATTTGAACCCTGCCTCCTGAATCCTTTACAATTAAAGTCCGAATTTTACCTTTTCAACCCAATCCATGGAAATCTCTTACAAATTAAGTCCCATAAACTATCAAACAGCCCCCAATATCTTAATTATGACATAATCAGCCCTTCCACCTCATTTCCTTTTAAATTAAATTCAAATAATTACCACAGAGCCCCTATCTTCATAAATAATTATAAACTGAGTCCGAAAATTACACTTTTACCCTCGACTTCTAAAATGGTGGCAATTAGCTCTTCGAGACCATCCTTTTATACATAATTATTTATTTTAGGGCTACGAGTCCTTCATTTCTTTATTTATTTATTTAATAAATAAACGGGTGTTACAACTCTCCCCCACTTAAATTAGATTTCATCCTCAAAATCATTCCTTACCATTCCTTACTCGCCCAACCACTCTAGTAGCATGTTCACCAACCTGGGCACGCCCTAGCCTTCCCAGGGTAGCCATGACCAATCCTCAACCTTTAATAGCTCGAAGCTCCCACTATAAAACAGGTTCACAAACCTAATTATCCATGCTGATCACTTATTCTTAGTCGAGGCTCAGCTAATCCCGCTGGGAGTGACTTGTCACTTCCCAATCAACCAGCTTTTCCGTCCGAACTTGCAACCTATACACAAATACTAATAGTGACAATCGCTGAAACTGTCCGAACATTGAACTACCTGAAGCAGTATGTTGCCACATGGCTGCTTCCCAACATCTACCGAGACCTACCTGGTCTTAATTTGTTCGCTAATCATCTGAAATATCAGGTTCTGACCCGGCTGCGGAGCCAAAGGACTCCCACTTAGTCGCCTCACACGACTCCTGAACGAAATCCTTCTCTGAACTAGTTTCCACTAGTTATCATGCCATTGTGGCTCTAACAACCTCCTAATACAACCGATCGGGCCCATGCGTCGAATCCCGTCATCATCCAATCCGAGACTAAAAGTGATTGCTACCTAACCAATGGTAGCCTTACATCACAAACGCCCTTAAGCAGTCCATTACTTCCCTGATCTCATAACTATAGTGACGTTCCTACAGTCTTATCACTGGCTCAACCAGAGCTAATCCATCTGGGTAATACCGAAATCCAATAGGTGGATTTCCATATCCTCACTGCTGCACCCGAACTGGTGTGTACTCTTGTTCCTTTCGCGTCCTAACAACGCGCTCATGCTATCTACCAACCTAGTGAATGCTACGGCTACACCCGCATACTTACAACACTCTATCACTATCTAGCTGCTAGTGAATGCTACGGCTACACCCGCAGACTTACAACACTCTAATACTATCTGCCAACCTGGTGAATGCTACGGCTACACCCGCAGACCTACAACACCCCTCACACTATCTGCTGCTAGTGAATGCTACGGCTACACCCGCAGTCTTACAACACTTTCCATACTATCTGACTACTAGTGAATGCTACGGCTACCCCCGTAGTCTTACAACACTTTCCATACTATCTGACTACTAGTGAATGCTACGGCTACCCCCGTAGTCTTACAACACTTTCCATACTATCTGACTACTAGTGAATGCTACGGCTACCCCGTAGTCTTACAACACTTTCCATACTATCTGACTACTAGTGAATGCTACGGCTACCCCGTAGTCTTACAACACTTTCCAACCTGGGTCGAACAAGCACTCGACCTAACCCTCAACTGAACTCGAGTCCTAACCGGCTCTAACCTGGTTCCCGAAACCTGCTATCACGTGACCCCATTGTATCAATACCGCACCCATGCCCGTGATCGAAGCGTCACGGTAAACCATGAAATCATCTACACCCTCTGGCAGGGTGAGAATCAGTGCCTCGCACAACCGCTGTCTGAGAGCCTCGAATGCTGCATGTTGCCCAGGCCCCCAGCGAAGGGCCATCGACTTCTTGGTCAGTCGGGTCAAAGGACCCACAATCTCGGAGAAGTCCCATAAAAACCTCCGATTATAACCCGCTAGACCCAGGAAACTCCGAATCTCGGTTGGAGACCTCGGAATCTCCCACTGCATCACGGCCTCTATCTTGGCCGGATCGACGAGAATGCCCTTCTGGTTGACAAGGTGCCCAAGAGATTGCACCTCGCGCAACCAGAACTCACAGTTGGAGAATTTTATAAAAAGTCTCTCCCCCACTTAGATTCGACTAAGTCTTCACATTACATGAGAATTGAAGGATTCCCAATCCTCCTCGCTTTCTAATATCTCACTGATGACAACCTGTGCATGTCAATGCTAGCGTTTAATCACCGATTAAACCTTGAGATCTCCCATCCTCGGAAATTTCGATGAGTACTCTTGAAATCTGATCCAGTCTGACACCTCAATCCATCTAACATGCTGTCAATTGAATACCTTAATCTTTACTCTAGCTGACAAATCCTCGTTCCCACTCCTAACCTTGCAGCACCACTGAACTCTAACCGAACACAGCCCATGCGAAAATACAATTCTCTTGAACATGCGATGACCAACCACTTATGCATCTAACACCCGCGACTGACACTACCTTCTTCATGTCACCACCTCTGTCCTAGCAACGGTAGTGCCTTGAACTCCAAAGTTCGTCCATAGACAATTAACGACCATACATGAACAATGATAGAATCCCTGAACATTGACCTCACTGGAGAACTATCACTCCAACCCTGACCGAGTATCCTCTAAATAATACTCCTGCGTAGATCCCGACAAAGATCCGAAATGATAACGGTACACGCGGAACCCACTCCGCAAGATGCGTCCCTCTGTGGGTTCATCAAGGACCTTTCGGCATGCATGATGGCATATATGATCCTTGATAACCCAAACACTAGCAGAAAAACCGACCCGAGGTCTGACTTATCCAAACTCACTCACAATTCCAAAGCGATACGTATTCCCAACATCCATCTAGTAGCAGTAAAAGATGACATACTCGTAACATCTGGAGGAATCCTAGTCACCTCCAGCTGACATGATCAACCCTTCCACACCTGTAGCAGCCTAAACCCTTGGAGTGACAAACTCCTTCGTGTACTTTCTCGTACGCATTGCACTGACTCCGGCCCTGCTGGCCTTTCACCCGATGATCGGAGGTGACGGGTCTCTTCCCGCGACCCTCAACTATACGCACCTGGTACGAACCTCTCTTCTCAAAGCGCTCCAAATTGATCTCGCATCTGCAATTTCTTGGAAATCATATCCTTCAGGGTCTGATACCCGGTCACGCTCACTATCTCGCTTGCCAATGGCTAAGCTGCAACAACTGGAACATCCTCTATCCCCAAACTGGGTCACGAACTCTTCCCTGAAGCTTCTTAGATTCTCCAAGACTCTCACTGATTCGAGTATGGATCCTGTGCTTTCAGTAGTACGGGCCCAATACTACCTTCCACACCTATCCATACTTTCCTCAGCAATCCTCTCGGATCCTCCAAGTCACTTCCTCAATCTGACACACCCAAGTCTCACTAGACCTTGCTACTAACCCACTGAAACATATCCTAGGCTTTCCTAGGCTCCCAAACTCACCCAGTCCTCAGCTGCTGAAAGATTCCCGGTAATGTCAACTAGCCACCTCATGAATATAGCCACATGCAACAGAGATCAGATAATCCTTCGAGTAAAAGACCCATCCCTAGAACGGTTGGACTCAGATAAGAGTTGTGCAATAGGGTCAAGGCCCTCACTCTGAGATTATCCGGCCTGTGTCCCATGTGACTTAGCATATTCACTTAATAGTTAGCTCACATTACTAAGAGTCCCACAAAGCACAAAGCAAGCAGCATTCAGGCAATGGAAAATCTAACCATCATATTCTAGTCACATCATTCTATCCTCTAATCAGGAATCTGTACATGCAATTCAAAGGCTCATATAATCAGGCATAACCTAAACAGACTATCCTATCACTGACTGATCAGTACTAGTATGCAAGTCTACAAGCACATACAATAGGCATATAAGGCATCCTCCTAGATCCTTAGCCCTAATCTAGCATGAAATTCTCATAATCATATCATAACATGTATGGGTATCTTGGGGAAAACTTACTTGAGCTCGGCTGATTGCACGCATCACACACCTTGTTCTTTTCAAAGTTCTTTTCTCTTTCAAACTCTTTTCAAACTTATTTTCATAAAATGATTTTACTTTTGAAAATTTTCATACCAAGTCCTTAGTTTGAGTTCAGACTCACCCGAGAGTGCGTCTGAATCCCTCAAACCAAGGCTCTGATACCAACTTGTAACATCCCAAAATTCAAGGCCAAAAATTTCATTTTTAAATAAGTTATTACATAAAACCATCAGTATAAAAACATTCATAATAATATCTCGTGTCAAGCCAAAGCGTCAGTAATCAAAACATATTATAATAAAACCATATCAGAGTGTAATCCCAAAGATCTCATGTGCGGAAAACATAGTGTGATGCTGTAACGCCCGCGTTTTCAGGCTAAGCATTATTGTTGATGTAATAGTCTAGGTTAACCCTTGTAACTCTTTTTGAAGTATTAATGATGAAATATTTGAGTATTATGTGAATTATGTGATTTACGTGTTTGTTTTCTTAATTATTATAATTTAATGGATTAAGAATAAAATAAGCGTCAAAAGTAAAGTGTGAGATAATCCCGATATCTTTGCTTGAAGATGTAGTGGTTGAAACAAGGATTCCAGAGATATAAAGAATGCCGAAATCCGAGTTATAACAAAGAAGTTATGACCTGTCGATGTTTCGCGACAGAAC